GCGTACTAAAAATTAATCCAATTATAACTTATTTTTTTCATAACAATTTACTAAATATCTTTTAAGATGATGTGGAAATCCACATCAAGATTTGCTGCTATCTCAGATTGCATTTCGAGAAATAGATTTGAAGACAAAGTGCTATTTTCACGTAAATGACAATGCAAATCTGAAGACATGTGACCATGCAAATTATTACCCTCTATTGAAAGTGCGGCCTTCTCTTACTATGATCAACAATAATGTGAAAGCTATTCCTCCAGAAAAATGATCTGGGCAACCACTGTCTTCTATTCCTGTGAAGAAAGGTAACCCAGGGATGCACTTTCAAAGACATAAAGACGTGACAGCATTGACCATTGACCGGTTTTTGACACTAAGCGGAAGCGTTGTCGGAAATGTCAAGATGCTGGCCCTGACGTTGACAAATATATAAAATGAAGTATTCTTTTAATTTCAAAAAAGATTTTAATAGTTTTCATTAGTACCATTGGTAATAATTTTGTCTATGTACAAAAACTGTGTTAACTGTTACGACCAATTCACAATGCAAACATAAGCATGGTGTTACGTCCATAAGCGGACTCATTCTCAATGCGTTCGCATAAGCATAACACGTAAAACGTAAACTTAAAATCTTGCAAGCTTCAAGCTTCTGTGCTTACGTTTAAATAAGACATAAGAAATGAACCAATCACTGCACGTTGACTCAAAATCTAGAATTGAAATAGGAGTGAAGTCGATAAACGAACTAACGCCAATGGGCCATGGATACAGCCGATACCTTGAAATCGATTCTCACATCCAACCAATAGTTGACTAGAATGTTTCACAGCCAATAGAAACTCTTATTTTACTTGAGTTTATGGTAGACATTGTGAATACTTCTATCACTTATGTTAATGTTAACGTTTGCATTGTGAATGGGCCTTTATATTTACCGTTGACACCCATTGTATTTTCTGTGATACAATATGTAACTATGAAACAAATTCATGAATTGTTGACAATTTCATGTTTTCAGTCATAATAGATCAATTTAGGGTTAAATAATTTTTATAATTGTGCTTATTATTCAATCGAGAAATATTGGAGAGAGACCCCCTGCCCCCTTACGACCATTGCTTTTGCAACACCTTCACCCTCCGCCCAGTGTTACCACATGTGTTTAGAGGGATTCCGCCATGTTCGTTTCAGTTTCCGCCGAAAATCCGCTGAACTGATTTTAAATTTCCCGCCTAAATCCGTTAAACGTAAAATAAATTATTTTTCCATATTTAAATATTGTATTAATTTATTCTATTAAAACAAACGATAGAAAATAATGTTAGGAAAGGACAAATTCTTATGAATGCATGAAATAGATAAGGACAATTGCTTATTCTTGGTCAAAGCTGTCGTTACTGGCGTATTCGAGCCCCAACATTTTAAAATAATAATAAAGGACGCACTTATGTAGACTGAATTGTCTGTCTTTTATTATTATTTTAAAATGTTTCTGCTCGAACACGCTATGTGTCCAGGCCTTAATAGTGAAGATTTAAAATTCCGCTCATTTTCCACCGTCTTTATTAATTTCCGCCGTTTATTCCACTGTCCGCGAAACTAATTTTTTTCCGCCGTACGAGTTAAAAATCCGCTGTAAACGGCGGGAATTCCGCCGATATGGCAACACTGCCTCTGCCACTGGTTACACGATATAAATGATTATTTTCATCAATACGAAAACTCTGTAATCAAGTTTAGCGAATTATGTATTACCCAAACAGAAGTATACTCTACTCTTATTTTTTTTAAATATAAAAACGGGGACCGAACCCGATAGAATTCCGCCTTCTTCTTTAAAACATTGTAATTAACCTGCTACCAACATTACATTTGTATTTATAAAGTCGCTGCATGAAAGCGTTGGACCCCAATATTTGGAAAGTTATATTTATTACAACGATATTTAAATCTGGGAGTTGCACTATGATAAAAAAAATGATAGACATGTTTCTGTTTTAAGTGCTATCCCTGTATTCGAGTTCATTATAACCAAAATGTCTCAACTTTACTGAATCCTATATTGATTGATCAGCAATACGGTTTCAGGCATGAGCATTCTACGACCACCAACTTATTGTCTTTTCAGCACTTTCTTCTTGAAAACTTAAATCCACAAAATCAAATTGACGTGATTTATACTGATTTCGTCAAAGCTTTTTGACACGGTCAACCATATTTTATTAGTCAAATTAAATAAAATAGGTATTCACGGAACTTTATTAAATCGAATGTCTAATTATTTGCGTAGTAACACAATTCAACACAATAAATCGTACATACCGAGAATACCCGACCGTAATTTCCGGTGTCCCTCAAGAGTCCCATTTGGGTCCGATTTTATTTCGTTTATATATAAACGATATAAGATAGCGATTAACTTGTAGTGATTTTCTTGTTTTTCCGGATTGAACGACTTGAAACTTTACAGATCAATATCTTAAATAGATGATTTAACTTGTTACAAGATCGAAACCGCTTGCACTTTTGTACGGAATATAAATGATTCCCGACTATATTAAAATGGCAATTCAGGAGTTTTTCTGGAGCAAGGGCACCAACCAGTCTTAAATATTGATAACCATACCTTAGAATCTGTCGCACAATTTATAGATCTATCATCTTTATCAAAAAGTGAATTTAACTCATTAGACGAATTTTGCTATAAGCTTCTGTCTGGCCTCCTATTTATGCTACACACATAGATAAAATTGAAACAATTCAACACATTGTTTACTTTTGTAGCTTAGAAACTAAAACTCCCATCGCCTACAATATCTCATGACTCTTTGCAAAGTGCTAAAATTTTGAAGATTTTTCCTGTCATATTATCAAAACTTTAATGACGTATCACTTTTATACCTCCTTTTACGTAATAATGTTCACTGCCCGTATTTCCTATCTATTGTTTGGTAGGAAATCAATACACGGAATTTTAGATCTACTAATGTTTAATTTTACATCCCTAAAGCGACAACCAATGTATGGCATAAAGTCCTACTTTGGTGTATGTCTCGACTAGTAAATAAAATTAACGTCGATTTAAATATGGTTAGTCAAAACAAATTGATTAATTCGTCAAAACAAATATTACAATATGCAAACAACAAGCAAATTAAAAAAATATATATTGAAATACTGTAAATCAGGTGATCGCCTGTTATACAAATAAAATTTAGAAGTTAAAATAAAATGAAATTATACTTCCTGGATTGGCACACAAACCTTTTGCTTCCAATGGAAGTGGCCTTATTCAAGCCTGCAAGTCTCCAGTTGTGCATTTAAATCATGATCAATCTGTGTATGTTCTAATTAGTGAATGTTCCTAGTTCATGTTTATGCATTCCTAAGGACAATGCCAAGGCAACTTATATCAGATATTTTTTCTGTTAATTAAAAAAAGAACCTGGGGGCAACAACTTTTTAAATCTTACGATGAAAAGAGACTGAAAACCTTACGGATTGACTAAAAAAACCAACAGAGTTTGCAATGAAATGTTTGTTTAAAGAGGAAGCTGCAGGCTCTGCACTTCCTGAATGTTCTTCTTCAGCCCAAGTTAGAAGTTGCGGGTTATGCACAAGAAGGACACGTACAAATAAGACAAGATATCTGTCCTATTTGTGTTTGTGTATTTGTGATACAAGCGTTCATGTACATGTAATAAACTTTCTGACACTAAAACAATAAAAGTACACATCAATAACCTAAAATAGAAATGATATTAAAAGGGGTATTTTGATGAGTCTTGGCCCAATAAAAGAGAAAAGTAGTAATAAAATAAATTACTTCTATTAAATGTCTTTGATTACGTAATAACTGGTGAAAACAGTCAAAATGTTCATTCACGAGTTAGTTATTTCCCTTTTTTTGATAAATAAATAGAGATATTGTCAGGTATCAATATTTTAATTCAACTAATGATCATTTCGATCGGAGTTCAGGGATTTGTTGGTTAACTTTCTAAACCTACAACCAATAAATCCCTGAACTGTCTTCACCTCTGCTAAAATTAGCACAAAGTGTACACGCCTAACCCACCCCCAGCCCTCCCCACCCCACTAACCTTCGCTCGCCCGACCGTCTCTCAAGCATCCACCAGCACCCGCACGTTTTACGACCCTTCACCCGCACCCCACCCCTCTTCCCGCTGCCGACCGGCTGTGCTCTTAAACAAGACACACGCTCAAAAATTCGCAGAACTTTGTTTTCGGCCCAGAAGCTGCAAGGTATGTACGATCCAGTTTGCTTACGCATCTTGTATACAATAACCAACCTGTTAATATTTCACATTGTATATTTGTATTGTTTTTAGCTCTGAGGATGATCGCTACGCGATCGAAATGATCATTAGTTGAATTAAAATATTGATACCTGACAATATCTCTATTTATTTATCAAAATAAAAAAAGGTATCTACTTCACCAACAATCCAATTAATTAGTTATTTCCCATTTCTAAGCAATCTTTTTTCTTAAACTGCACACTGTTCATTACATTTCTGCTTCTAAAGCAATTAAAGTAAGTGTTGCTTTTTTTTCTCTTTTTTCTTTGCCGAGATGATTCTTTAATAATAATCACTTCTTTTGGCTATGTTGAGGTTGCATTGCATTTTACAAAATCTTTTGGACCAAAAACTAACTCTTCTTTCCAAATATGACAAGAAATTCACTTGAGGTTTTATTTAATAATAATCAACATCTACTCCACTCACTAAAACATAGCATCAATTCTGTGCTCTATAGAGAAGATAAAAAACCTAATTTGTAACACCTCTTAATTACAATGTAACATTGATTTATTTCATAGGAACAAATAACATTGAAAAGTGAAGGCTTTATGTTCGATAAACAGATGAAAATAAAATAAAGAAACATAAATAGCAATATTTCTATAAGAATCGTAACAGAAGTAAATTAAATAATTCTCTTTTCTTTTACAGATCTTTCCATTTACTTCTAATCCCTGAACTAATTCTTTTCTGTGCTTGGTTATAACAATTAGCTTATGTATATGTGTATAGGTACACACACACACACGTGCATGTGCATGTTAATTGTCCAGATAGCTGTCCACACCTGAAACAATTCAAGTCATCGATACTCAGTGTCAAATGATCACCTGCCAAATGTAATTACCTACTCTTCCACTGCTCCGCAACACTTCATATTTTCAGTAACTATTTGGTTTAGATAAATTTCTCTCATTTTTCAGATAAAATTACCCAACAATTACCATAAAGAAGTTTAAAGGATTTGGAAAAATGTCTGCAAGATTTTTAGGAAGGATATTTAATTGGAAATGAAGCTAAAATTCCTTTGATTTTTAACATTAATAATAGTTCTACAACTTTCTCTTTAGCTGCAGATTTTACATATACCCCATTACATTAACCCCAATATTATTCAGCGTAAAGTAAGTAATTTCACTTTCTTTATAAATAATGGTAACATTTTTTTTAACTTTTGTATGTTAAGAAATTACATAACTGGTCCCTTTCTGAAAATGTATTTGGAAGAATCTTTCCACACCCCACATTCATCACAGGTAAAGCAATATCACATAGATTGAATTGCTAATACACAGATAACTACGTCAAAATGTCACTAAATGTCCTCACACGTTTCCCATGCATGTGTTAATGTGATGTTCTACCACTACAGAGGATGAATGGTCATGTTTACATGATATTTTGCCTTGTTAATGTTGTGATATGAAGTGTTGCAAAATAAATTTTCATTTAGAAAGTTATGCAGCAACTATAAAACGAAAAGAAAGTGTACTATCCCCTGCTCTTGTTCATCCCTTAATAAATTCACAGAAGGTATATGATTCTTACAATGTCTAAAAGCAACAATCAAAATCACATTGTCTTCTGATACATGAGTGAATTTATTCAAGCCCCCAACAGGACTATCAAATGATTAATCTCAAAATCTACAAGGCGCTTTGTTTTCTCTGGCAAAGAGGGATAACTATAAAATTTCAAGACATTCTTAACAATCTTATTTGGTTTTGCATATTTCGCCAAAGAGGGGTCACACACATATACATGGACTCCACAAAGGAAATGGTCAAAGTGGATCATGACCACCATTGCACTGATTGCAATCTTCTATACAGTCTTTCATATATACATACTTCTCATACTAGTACAATATCAGCATCAAGCAACAAACTGATATTTCAAACGTTCCAGAATTGAATTTCTAATTTTACAGTGTACAAAGACATTAATTAATTCACCTAAATTATAACAGACCGAGTATAAGTAAGCTCTTGAAGTATTTGGGTATATATAATTCTCTGAGGTTACATATACACTGGAACTGGTACTGATACAGGCATCTTGAATTAGCAGATTTCAATATAAACACAAGCATGTAGCTTTTAAGAAACCATTTCACACAGAGGAACATATCCAACAGATAGGTAAGCAGCAACAATGACAGTTGATGACTTTGAATACCTTGGGGTCTCCTAAGAACCGGAAATGGATGGAAGGTAACCCCATCTGTCTAATAATCATTTCTTCTAAATCACTATAGCCACTTATTTAATGCTACCCAAATAAACAATATCCAATGATAAGCCTGAGAAGGATTTACATAATGGCCACAATTTCTGTGTAGCAATGACAAATTAAGAATACTTGAAGCAATAATGTATCCACAGCCTCAAACCTTTTTAAACAATATCGGAACCCAAAACCCACATTATATGGTCCATCAATAACCATAGGCTTCACATAAAAATACACTTTCATACCCCACAAATACTTACACAAGTAGGCACACTCTCTTGCATGCACCCAATCAAGCACACAAATCTCTACATAAATAGCAAAACCACTCTCCACAGCAATAACATATGTAGAATTCCAACCACATGTGTATCCCCTAACTCTAACTGGAAGCTGGTCAGAATCATTTGATAACAGAGTTCTTATATAACTTGAAGGCAATCCAACACACCACAATAATTATAAGGCCATAATTCAGTAATAAACTGCATTTCATTACAAATAGTCATCTCAATTTCAGCTGAACTCTCATTCAAAATCAGTCAAATTCTTCGAACACAACATGAAATGCATTATGTGGAGAAATGACAACAAATAAAATTAAGAGGAAAGAAAGGAGGAACAGAAATATTATACTTATGTACAAAAATAAGAATATATTCCCACAGGACAATCCACAAACAGAATCCCAGACAACTAGCTCCTCTACCTACACCCAAGGTGACTGAAAACAGCATTGTTATGAACACAATATACTTTAATATCGTTACACATACTTTCCCAACATGAAGTTTCAGAATTCAGGTTGTAGCAAAAACAGCTCAGGTCCAACCAAGTTACTTAAGTAAATGAAAGAACATGTTGAAGAGAACATGCAGTTTTTATAGGCTCCAAGTGTTAGCAAAATAAAACAACTGCAAACGTTTCCTTCAACAGATTTATTCAATATCTTTTGTAAACAGCCCCAAATCCACCAGGAAAAGTAGTTCTCAATCATCTTACAGCCCTCAAAGAGTTGTACAGGTGTAGCAACTGAACAATCAACTGTAAATCTCGCTTTAAAAAAATGAAAAATCAACAAAAACAAAAGACAGACATGCCTCAAGAAAAATAGATTTTTAAAAAATTCATAAATAATTAATATTATGTACTAAAAGAAAAAAAAATTCGCCCTTGCACATATCAGTCATAGTCTGTACGACACATAGGATCCCTGCCGGCCATTAGATTTGATAATGTTTAATCACACTTGGAAACCAATATTCTCACCAACAAGTGTCATTGACATATGACACTTCCAAGATATTTTCCTTTGTATAAGAGTTCTACAAAATTCATTCATTCATGTCATATAATCACCGCGAGTCATGTCACAACTTTGCCCAAAACGATGCAAAGTCTTTGACGCAACAAATTGTTAAAAAGTATTGAGCCATTCATATACAGATAATTGCAAAGTAACAAAATATATAAATTGTTTTGGGGCAAAAGCATTCACACTCATAACACAAAGGCTGAGACATGAGTTTCTTGGCATTACAAAAATTCATGCTTGGCTTGGGAACAAGGTTAAGAGTGTGTATGCAAGGTTGGTTCCTGAGGTTACCTGTACAGTACGCTCTATCACTGGGTGAAATTATTTGCTCGGATTCATAATTGCATAGATATAAAATGACCAATCCATTCAGAGATTGGCCAAATAAACAGGCAAGGCATGCCTGACTTTCTTCCCAACATTTGTTCTCACATGAGGCATGGTTGTAAGCGTGTTTCCTCCCAAGGTACTGGTTGTTGGAATACATCATCTCTCTGAGGGGTTCACAAACAGCCTAGCGACCCAACCCAAATTCTTTAGCATCATCTTCAGTTATGTCACCGTATTGCCATACATTGACATGGTTCTTCTTAGCATTCTCCTGGGCCGTCTGATATTCCTGCACCTGTAATTCATAAAATAAAACTAATTAATACTTCTTTAAAGACAACACCACCATAAGTCAATACTCTTTCATATGCAGTTGTTTATCCTTAATGATAATTTAAAACAATGAACAAATAACAGGTAAATAACACACACTTTTTTTAATTTAAGTAAATCATGAATAGACAGCCTAGAAATCATGAACTCAAACTGCGGTAGCCTACATGTACAAATCTTGAATAGCTTCAAGAGATGCGGAACAAATTTTGGCCTCATAATTACAATGCCAGAAATTACAGTTCTGTATAAGTAATAAATATTTGTGTAATAAATATGAAAATGTTTATTATTCATATAAGCATCACATGTGAAGATTCAAACTTTAAGTGATCATGCAAATATATGAATAAATATTTAAAAATATTATTTTACAAATAAAACCCACAAGAGCTAATGTAGTTCACAGAACAGCACACACTTTCTGATTACTAGTGTATTATTACTCACCAATTTCTGCAAGCGCTTCTCACGTCGAGGTTCCACCAACAGATAACCATCTTCAATAAGCAGGCGCGCGACATCATCTTCTGGTTTTTCTGGATCCACCAAAGTAGCATATGATATTCCATTGTTCTTGTATTCAACATTCAAAAGCAAACGTCTGTTCTTGACATCTTGACCAAATTGCTGCAGAGCCTCTTCATGGTACTCATTCTGAAAGAATAATATTAATTACAAGGCAGAATGGGCATTACATGCAATTACAGTACAACACATTCAATTGAGCAAGTCCAGAAGAAGAAGAAGAAGAAGAAGAATTAATGAACACACATTTACAAGTAAGGTAGTAAGATATGTAGATAAAAGTATATCCACACTCAAATTTTTGTTTAGGGAGATTTAGTCATTCTTTTGAATCGTAAAGCAACTAGTACACTTCACCATAGATTTGCTCAGATATTTCAGTCCATTCACTTTTCCTTAATATTATCTTTAATTGAATAAGCAGACAATATCAAATTACCCCTCTCACATCCAAACTGCTTACTGACTTTTCTCCCAATTCATATATTCGTTAATGGAAAAATAAGACCCATATTTTATCTTCTACGTATTCATTTCAGAATGTTCATTTCCCATCCGGTTGTTGCTTTCATTCCTTCCTCCTATGTGAAAGTCTCCATGGCATTGAAACCATTGCCAACTTGCGATCCCCAGTAGGCCATGCATGTACACGTCTTCTTCATATCAAATACGTTCAAAATAATTTTATTTAAATATTAAATTTCATCTTGTTACAATGCTCTTTAACACAACACTTCTACACAACGAAAAATCACATTAAAAAATGGCTAAATTATAATTTTAAAACTTTCACGAGAATCAACACTAACACTTGCATTACATTTATGAAAGTAAACTCTACTATTTTTTTACTCAAAAATCTCTTGGAACATTTTCGAAGATTTTAATTATAAAGGAATGTGTAAAAGAAAATAATATAATTTCTGAAGTGGAAAGAAGTTGAAGCTTGATCTGCTAGATAGGTCATTTCCTCACTCTTAATTATGTCTTAATGTTATGTCTTATTATGTATTAAGTCTTAATTAATCTTAGTTGAAAAAGTTATTAGCAGGTTTATATATGGCCATAATGTGTTTATATTTGAAAATGTAAACATGAAATTTTGAGGTCATATTTATACTGTGTAGCGTTTTGAATAACTAGGTTCCCTAAAAGTAATAAAGTTAATGTATTACTGTTGCAATGATGAAAGTGAAGATTTTTATGTTAATTCAAATGGAAAATGGAAGAAAAAGTAAAAATGATTGTGAGTGAAAATAAATTTATGAAACTTCAAAAAGCTAAAGGGTGCAAACTAATTAACAGTGTTAACATTTTCTTTGGGAATGGTCAATAAGTCACAACTAAAACAATATTAACATTGAGACTTACATCTTTCGGAGGTAACTGTGCACAAGCCAATCCATATTGGTGAGCAAAAGGCTTGTCTTGAGCAAATGAAGCTGGCAACGCAGCAAGACGAGTGGTTTCCACAATTTCTCGGTTGCCATAATCCACATAGAAGACTGTCGCCTGCAACAAAAATGTAATCAGAATATTTCATCATGTTACATAGTTCCAGCAAGGGTACTTAATCTACTATTGATCAATATTATAAGAAGAGAAAGGAATGTTCTGAAGAACTCTTAAGAAACATTCTAGTAGTCTTAGATTTGTATTTATGACACATTTCAAAATACTAACATATGTTTCAATATGTATAGCACATGAACTTGAACAATGAAATCCCAATCCACAGAGAGAAAAAAGAAGAATTTTTTCTTCTGTAACAAAGTCAGATTTTTACATTCTCAAATCCCTTTTAGACATTAAAACAGTTTCTTTAGAAGCAAAAATTAGCTGTATAATTTTTTAAGGTAAAATAAATTGTCCTAAAAATACTTTTTTCGTAGGCATGAACTATAAAAGGAAACACAACAGAAAGGAATAATAACATACATCAGATGAATTTTTTTTCAGACTAACCTTTGTAACTAACACAGACACAGAACTTCACATAAGATAATAAAACTTCCCTGAGGAATAAGTATATTTAATATACTTTACAAATAAATTATTAATGACTCAGAGGTAAATACAGGAAGTATTTGTGGAGGGGGCCAACTACGGGGTCTTCTTCCCGTGACCTTCGTACATGAAACTGAGGAAGCTGAGACCCCTTGAGATAATCCTGGGCACTCAGACCTTCAGGATCTTTAGTTGTTTGTCTTATAATTATTCTTACACTTTGTTTTGTCAGTTAAATCTTAATTATAAATTAATAAACACTGTTCCTCTCACATTAAATGTTATCAAACATCCATGTGATATCGTCTGTGTTGCATCTCTAGAGAAAACACGAAGGAAAACCTTAATTGCATTTTAGCAATTATTTCACAAATTCATAACCATTTCACACTTTGTACATAATGGCGCATTTTATCGCAGATTGAAAACATTCTGAAATATACTGCACTGACCGTCAAACATATAATTACTAATTTTTCAGTATTTGATAACATTTTGTACTTCTAGCAGTATGCTAAAATCTACCTTCTCTAATGATAATGCAGCCTTTTTGCACCCTCTGTGATAACCATAACACACGCCTCCAAAAAAATAAAGAACGAGCTCAACTCATGCTCAAGCTGCTGGGAAACAGCAGTCAGTTTGAGCTCACAAAAAGAAATACGTTCTATCCAATCACCTTATTTCCTGATAACTTTTCTACTTTGGCCCGATACCACTGATCATCAACAAATTTCGCAGCACACAAATCTCCACGCTTTGGAGTGTAAGCCCCTGGCAGAGGCGGGGATGCACCAAGTTCTTGATGAAGCCGGCCCATCAAGGCTTCCAATTTTGTACCTATGTAAGAAAAAGAAAAGACTTTCAGAAATTGTCAACAAAGACTAAAAATAACTAAAACATGGATTGAATACACTAATTTTTTAATGCTTTGCAACTAAGCTTTTCCCAAATATAAATGCATGTTAAGTTGTAAAATACCACGTCTCTTATCTTCAATGTTTCTTATGAAATCAAAATTCCAACTACAGAACGTATTACTTGGCCAAATGCAGTTTCCTTTACAAAATATTGTAAATAAAGCGCAGCAAACGTGTTTTATTAAATAATCCCGGTGAATAAGCTGATAGGTCATAAACACTTAATTTTACAGGAGAGCAAAAAACAACTTTTAACGAAGGTAAATCAGGGACTTATGATAATCAAACAAAGGTGACTTGACAGTATTTGTATGTCGGTTTTGTTTGAATATCATTAATTCCTGATTTACACCATTAATTTAAAGGTGTTTTTGCTATCCAGTAACATTAAGTTTTTTGGACTTCACAGGGGTCAAAGATGAGAATCTCCAATTTGGACTCTATACTATCTAACCTATAGTAAAAAAATTAGAAACTTGTTTAACATATGTTTTTCTCATTTGCAGCTACCACCTAACATATCTTATGACTGTTTTCAAATTGCAAGTGTACTTATAATTAATAGCTTTACGTTTTGGAAAATTTTAAAAGATCTTATTTATTTATCACCCAGCAAAGCTCTGTTTGAAACAAGCCACTAAACGCTTTGTATTCATTTATACCCTAGTACTGAACAACATATCATAAATGCTCAACATGGCCATGGCCATTGTATTAATACAAAAATTAATAATTCAAAATCTCTTCACCTTGATCTACCATTTGGGCATAGAACTGTAGTTCATCTGTTGTTTCTATAACCAGGACCTTCTGATAATCTACTCGACGTTCAATATTCCTATCTTCTTCAATCTTCTTTTCCTCTTCCTCCACTTCTACATAGTTCTTCCACAACTGAAAATTGACAATATTTACACATGATTACCATTAACAAGTTCTGATACAACATGTTTGCCCAGAAGACCTCAATTTCAGTCACATTACCGTAGTAGAATGTGTGTTTCCTTGTCAAGTAAATGAGGAGAGAAACCTTATTTAAAGGCTCTTGGCTGTCTGGTGTTGCTGTGTTGAGGGCATTAATGCCAATTGACACCCACGTCATCAATGCCCTCCATGTAACGTCACCTGGATAGCCAAGAGCCTTCGCAAGACTAACAGCAGGAGCCTATAATTGTATATTATTATTTAAGAAATGTTTATTATTTTTAAATTGATAAGAGTGTTACTTAATATTTTTAGATTTGCATCCATTATTACAATGATACAACCGATAAAGTGACTACACACACAAAGTGAACTACTACACACCCTGTCTTTGTCAGTCTTACACTAGTTTTCTCAACTGAATAATGTTAACAGACTACAAATTTTAGACAACTGTCAACCTACTCCCACATGAAGTTTAGTTGCACATTAAGCTGGCAAAAAAAATTATTAAAAGAAAATTTTGTAACACATTCTTACCCCAAGAGTTTCAGGAGGAAGCCTATTACACTTTAACACTTAGTACTCTTAAGAATAGAATGATAGTTCTATAAACTGTTCAATTCTTCTTGAAATGACATTGCTTGGATTCAATTGGAATACTTTTTTTGGGAATGTGTTGCTATCAATATGTGACAATTGTTAGTAATATTACCCCCCCCCAAGATAGAAGCAGATTGAACACTGGCTTCTACACTACTGCCACTGTTCTGTAATTTGTATTGCAAACCTCAAACATTTGTTTACTAGTTGCCACAGACAAAAATAGAATTACACTACATTATAATGAAATTAAAAGTACTCATTACTTAAAGCAAAGAAATTCTTGAAGTTCCATCAAGGATGTCATGGCATTTTGAACAAAATATGGCAATCTGTTTCACTAATTGAGGCCACAAGATCAAAAGTGACCTAACTGCAGTCTCTCATTTTCTCTGCAATTTTTTGCTCCTCTCAATTTTTCTTCTCTTCAATAACAACAAATTGCAACAAAAAAATTAAAGAAATTACTATCTTGAATTAAATATATTCTCCAATACTTTATTTCTAAAGGGCCAATGACATTCAAAAGCACAATCACTTCATTGATATTGAAATTCAAAAATTCACTTCAATGCAATTCTCAATACTTACATTGATTTTTTTGCTCTTTGCTTGATCTTCTGCACTTTTAAGGGCTCGAAAGTGCTCTGAACGCTCCGCAGTGAAATGCACTGATGCCAAACCAGATTCCACCAGTAGGACAGACAAGTTGTGAGTTTCCACCCAGAGCCAGCCAATAAAATTGCCTGCCTTGTCCATGGACTCCACTGAGATCTCTACCTCTCTCTGCAAGCAGCGTTCTCGAGTGAATTGAAGAGCCTCTTCTCCAAATGGTTCACCCTCCTGTACTTGTCCTCCTGAGGGGGCAGGTCGCGATCCACGAGGGCACTGTATACCTGAAATTCATTTTTCATCTTAACTGAATGGAACATTCAAATACACATTTTCCTCAAAATTATTTGATCTTCAAACACTCAAATCTTTGTTTCTTCATCAACTAAAATTCTCTTCAAGCCCTCTATGCCTTCAACAATTTTTATATTTTCAAAATGTGAATGCTGACTCAAAATGAAATAACTGAATTTCCAATCATTTAATTTTTAATTTTTTTTTAAAGGAGGATATAATTTAAATATATTTTACTAGTGGTCTTAATATGCAAAATTTATTAAATTAGTAATTATCCTGCTTATTGTGCTTGAAAAGCGATACCTTACTGATACTTATTTCTAATAATTTTAATATATTAAACATTAATTTGATAATGGGCATTTGTATTTACTTAGATTATTACAACACCCGTCTACCTATTACAACACCCACCCATAACTACAACACCTGTCAAAAGGATAACCTACACGTTCCCCACTCTGAAACTACACTTTATCAAAA